CTGGAATGGTACAAAAGAAGGGAAATNATATTAGACAGCGCCAATTCAAAACCCTACGTTACGGTTTCTGTCTTATTACAGAGTCAGTTTTTGTATTACGCGCCGAAATTGTACAAAGCAATCGATCATGTAATGAAACAAAGAATGTTCGGGTTATACACAATCACCACAAACTGTCATATGACGACGGCCAAACTACTATTTCAATATGATGCTTTCCATTTTGTACCCTTCTGATGCAGGATAAACCAAGCATCCTTGTATGGCATCCTTAAGCCTTACCACGACAATATTGGTAGAAATAGTTAAGTTGCTGTGCATCATCTTCAACTCTGTTCTCCACCAGTTCATCAAACGGGCGGAAGCAGCTAATATAATGACTCAAGGACCAGTCAAAGCAAGGCCGTTCACATCTGGGCAACATCAAACGAGTCAATAACTTAGCAATGTTGTAGTCTGTCGTACCAAACTGGGTTTTTTTAAGTATTCGGTTCGAACTCCCAAGGATACCTCAGCGTTGGTGATGTAACCTTTTCTTCTACTAAGGGAAGTTCTTTCCTGATTTGATCATCGCCGGGTACATCGTCCACTTCCTCAGCAACCTGAACCAAACTATCTGCTCGTAAAGCTGCCGCGGAATGCCATTTAGCATTTGCAATTCTTTTAATAGCCTCGGCAGCTTCTAGTTATAGTTGCGCATTTTCCAACTTCGATCAAACATCCAAATTGCCGCATGTAAGTAAAGTAACCGGAGAAGACTTACCGGACGGGAATGCAGCAGCAGCAGCAGGCTCATCGCCTAGGTCTTCCGACCTCTTTTCATAGTCCATTGCTTGTGGGAAAGAAGAGTATAAGGAAGCACAATTAAAAATTCAGCATGAAGAACAAGAGAAGAGTCAAAATGTTGTAAAAACCAAATGTACAGTTTCAGAAGGTTCAACAAACGACAGTGCAATGCAATTAGTAATCTCAGTTTCGTATGCAAGCGGAAAATTTTCCACAGTTGTTTATCAACAAGGAGGTAAAATACTGTTACAGTCGCCATTTCGGAACTGTTTTTCTAAAAGTGTACAGTGATACAATAAATCTCGTACACATACTTGACCGTGATGCTCAGTAAGCGAACTGTAAGATTCAATTAAAAAGTAGAATGTTAACGCCCAAGCGAGCGGAATCAAATGAGAATGGAAGCCGTTATTCTTTACCGGAATAATAATAACTGGTACAGATAAACAAAAGCCAAATTGAAAGAGAGAAGAGAGAATACCACTCATAAAAACTTACTTTAAATATCAAAATGTTGTTTTCATAATGATCTTCAGCTACCGTAACACCGGGTTCATTTCATATATCGCAACTGTATATTGCCTGAGAAACTTGAACCCGTAAATGAAGGGGAACAAACTCTGTTGGCTATAACTTTTACGCTGATAGCTTTCATCCCTTGTAATGGAAAAGATGCCCTACATAAGAATAGTAATAAAATGAAAGGTTCATGGAATGGACTCACAGGAATATTGTTCGATAGGTTGAGGGATTCTGTTTTTCGGAAGTCTGATTTCTGTTGATGGTGAGCGTGAAATCACGGAAGAGCGCAGATTGGCTTTGAGCACCTTTGTCACTGGTCACTTTTGGGGAATTCGTAATGGGAAATCCACTTTGGCAGGAAGTGTTGTGCAACGGACTGAGACGAAATATCTGCCAGTAAAACAGCTACCGACCAACGTTAAAAGATATGTTTTAACATTTGAGGCGGGGAGTGGAATAACAACGTCAATATGAACATAAAATAAAGGATTGTATGGCACGAGAAATTGACTCAGAGAAGAAATAGCGAGATAATGAACAAGATATCACCCAAGATCAGACTGCTTTGTTCATGCTGGGACAAACGTAACGGTCAACATTCGGACGTAACATAGAACAAACACTGCGGTGCGATAATGGATGAAAATGAGCAAAAACGGGTTGAAGCATACTAAGGGACGAAATAAAATGTAGCACAAAATATGTTGGATGATGAATTTAGAAGAGGAATTTGCGTGCAACACAAGAATGTGGATTTGAGCATATCTCAGAACTGAGGGTCGCTGGATTAATGTTGAGAAATGGTCGCAAAGCTGATATCGGATGGTATAACCGTACTGTCAGTGTCGAGCCGGAAGAGGGCGACTGTGATTATGGCAATCTTTTAATGCGTCGAATGTTGGGGGAAAACTGAGATGAAATTGACGAGTTTAGCGCCAAGAATAATGATCTGAACGTGCACGGAAATTACCATTGGTTTGTTGTTAGTAATGAAGGTTAATTAACGACTTTCGAGTAGTCAGAGAAAACGCGGGATGAGAAGGTATACTGAGAGCCATTTGCGGCCAATAGCTCGTTGGGGGAGGGCTCAATTTTCTCTGAATAAAAAGTTAATGACTTTTACGTTTATGACAATTTGGTGGAGTGCCGCTCCAACGGTATGATTCGACGAGACGTTGTACATCACCAGTTGAGTGGATGGAGATAAGTTCAGGTGAAACAACAGTGGCCTCCTGGAGGACTGATTTGGCGATGTCCAACGCTTTGAGAGACTCAGGACTGTAGACGTATTTTGCATTACCACGGAGCAAATAGATGATGGGCGAAATTATACCGGAACATGTGAGGATAAACCGAAAATAATAGTTAATCAAACCTCAAAAGCATTTAGGCCGTTTAACAGAAATTGGACAGGAGAGGTCTTGAATGGCTTTAACCTTGGAAGACAATGGGAGAATGTCTCGGGAATTATTCTCATGGCCTCTAATTTCGAAGTATGAGACAACAAAAATGCATTTAGATGGGTTTAAGGTAAAACCATAAAGTTTTAAAAGTAAAAAAAGAATGTGTGAGTGGGAGCTATGCCCTTCGGATGAAGTGGTAATACAATGTCCTCTAAGTAAACATAAACAAATTTTAGTCCCTGAATGGCTGGGTCCATAAAACGTTTAAATGTTTGTGCGGCGTTACGTAAACCAAAAGGCATTCGTAAAAACTCAAACATTAAACATGGGGTTGTGGCTGCTGTTTTGGGAATGTCTGCTTCAGCCACTGGAATGCGATTTTGAAAAAATTTGTTTCCAGTGAACGGTTAGCGTGAAACGATGTACGTGTAGAATGGGATACTTGTGGGATGCGGTGGAGTTGTTGAGTGCCCTGTAGTTGCCACAAGGATTTCAGTCTCCAGGGGGAAGGACCGAAAGAGATGGGCTGATGATTGCAAGCTGGAGCACGTGGTCGAATTCTGCGCTAGCCATAGTCAATTACACCGGAAAACATGGAAAAATACAAGCTTCCAACCGTTTATTGGTAAAGGTGTTGTCGGTAAGTAATTATAATAAGATATGCATTACTTCATTATATGCTATTCGGACAAATCCCAGATTTATCGACATTTCAATGGATTGTGTTGAACGCGAAATACGCAGGTGGTTCAAAAACACGGCGGACAAAATTTCCGCCAGAAAATTGCACAGGAAAGTACTATACAGCCACTGTAATATACGTTTTACTTTTCTAATATATACCAGCAAATAAATGGTCTTCTATGATACGCCCAAATATATGTATGGAAGCCTCTGATTACAGTAGAAGCTTGTTTGAGGGTACCTTCTAATTAGGAATACAATGATATAGTTGGTGTAAGGGAAAATAAAAGAGCTTTATTCAATTAGTCAATAAAGTACATTGTAACCCCATTACAAAACATGTGCTTGAGCCCATTGCTAGGTAGTAATACCGCGAGAAAATACGGGGCTTATAAGGGATTAGAGAACAGAGAGGACGGAAATAATAAAACGGAGTTTCCGAAATTGTAGCTCATTGTAGCCGGCTAATAGCGCGTTATTAGCCGAAGACGTGCTACCTGGGCATAGCTTGATGCAAAACTATCAAAGCACACACATTGAAATGCAAGAAATATTGTTATAGTTTGCACTCGAACTAGTAATTCATATACCTATCGGAATCCGCGCAGTAATAGTCCAACCCAGAAAAAGGACTCGAAATAAAATCAGAACACAGAACTCAACAAGCGGAAAATCGGAATGTTCAAGGATATCGTATTCAAGAAAACAACGGAGTTTAGAGTTCATGAACAATCACCACAAATATATACCTATTCCACCACATTGTTGGCCAGTTTGCCTGACGATCTCAACACTGAATTGAAATAAGCTTTCGTTGCATTCTCAATCATTCGCTAATTCACAAGTAATGTAACTTTAAGCGTAATTCAATGTCGGTAAAAAAGGTTTACTGATTGCTGCTCAAGTGATTAACGATAGTGTACGACACACCTTTTAGCCACGGGCACTCAACAGAAATACCATCTTGCACGATTTTCAAATGAATCCGGAAGTGTGATCGATCTTTCACAAACTATCATAAAGGTGTTTCGGTTCATTAACTGGAGTAGTGAGACAAATTCATTCAAATCTGATATTGGAAACTACTTGGTGTACAGTGTTCCCTTGCTTGATGTACGGAGTAACTTTGCCTATGGATACGTACACGCTGTTTCGGAATCTCTGTCAAAGTGCATATTATGCTTTCCTTTTATTTTTATATCTTGGAAGTAATCTCAACACCATTCCCTTCGTTTTGCTTTCTGAAAACTGCAGTGTTCTTATTTTTGTTTCCATTCCACTCTTCTCCCCTCCCCCTCTTCCACTTTATTACTCTCGTTCAAGAATACCCCGATTTGCAAGCGCGCAAGCGGTTCCTGTCCCGGTGAGACTTTTGAACTCACTCTCTTTCTCCAGTGCGTTTTCTGATTGGTCCAATCTATTCAACTGGTGAAGCGGTTCGGACTGAGCGGTAGCATGACCAATAAAAATTCTATGTTCTTATTGGTTCATTGGTGGGTTAGTTGGCTATATGGTTTAAACAGCTTTCAACAAAGAATCACAACTCCAATTACGATCCTTGACGAGAACCGCCGTAGATTAGGATGGACTAGTGAACCGTCAGTGATGGGAATGTGCCAACTATTCGTGTGCATTCTACTGTTAACTAAATTGCTACTCGGGCAGTGTCAAATTGGCACTGTTAAGCCGAGCGAATCTGATGCAACCTGTCACTTGCAATTGGAATGTTTGGGTCCAAAACAGACAGATCAAGGACGCGTGAGAATCCCGGTTCGATCAGCCCGAGGACCGACTGGACCACCCGGTGAAAAGGGTCTGGCTGGCCCACCAGGTCCTCAAGGAGCCACACGTGAGTCCATTAGGGAGAATCAAATACCCACTGAAACATGCTTGTGACGTCAGTACCACAAAATTCACAGCAACCACAGTGTTACTATTGGCGAAGATGGTTCAGTTTTATGTGTTGTTGGTAACTACGCGGTGTTTTGCATTTGGTTTATTATCCTAAGGCTATGAATAATGAGAGCAAGTAGCACAATGAGGCGGCTTTCCAAGAATAATAAAACATAATTAAGTAACCCAAGTTCTCATCAAGACATAAATCTGAAAACTGGGATATGTTCAGTCGTTTAATTTTTTTGGGGGGAGGACACACTTGTTCGTATTATTTTTTACTTTTCGTAAGTCTCATCATATTGAAAAGAGGATTAGTTTCGGCCATAAAAATGATAAAAATGAAGCAAGTTATAGTTATTTGGTGTCTTACGAACTCGTGGGTAGCTGGTATCGTAAATTTTGGACACAAACAGCTGATTAGTAGTGTAAATCAATAGTCCAGCGCTGTTGCAGAACAGAGAAATCGAACTGAACGTATCGATGACAGTTACGAAATTGAATATCATATCGCGTAGTGTGACTGTTGATTCTCTGTGCTGATAAATGAATGACAACCTATTCTTATAATTGGCTCTATCTGGCTTCATTTTTACCTGACTATCGGGTCCAGATATTTCCTGAAATTTTTTTTTCATAGAAATAAAATGTTATCAACTTAATAAGATTTTGACAATCGCTGCATCCCTTCTGTATCCAAAAGCACCGACTGGAACCTAATGTGTCGTTTATTAGCTGAAAACTCGGAGCCTCAGTTGTTGATAAGCGAGAGAATCAACCGATAACAACAAAGTTGGTACGAGACATTGGGGATTTTGTTCTGATTCAAAGGATTTCCGTGATGAAACTCTTCTAGTGGATTGCATTTGTATTCGCTCCAAGGTACCAGCTGATGTGGGTTTCTTAGTCTACACAATAACGTTCACTGCAACGTAAAAACATTTAGCAGAGTGTTTTCTTGATAGTTGCGTCGAGCTGATGAAAGCTTTAGCATAGATGGGATCGGATTCCTGGGGCGTTAAAAATCCGTATTTGTTTTTAGCAGTCGAACAGTGTCCTTTAAAATATATATGAGCTTCCTGTAAGTAAACAGAACAGTAGGGGTAACAATCCCAAACTAGTGATCAGTAGTGGAAAGTCAGGCTGTGTGGCCTAATTGCTTGCGGGGATAGAAGTCCTCATCAGTTAGGCAGAACCAGAAATGATTTGCACCAAAATTATTCGAACCCGCCGAGACATTCTGATACCAGTATCTGAGTATCCCACTAGTGGTACTTTTCTTCTTTTGAGTTTTCACCTACCGATTTGGCTTGCGTGGCTTTCATTCAAAAGGCTGAAAAATTCACTCTGCTTGCCAAACAAATCAGAGATGAGTACTCCATTAATTACATACGGCAAAACGTTTTTTGACAGATTTTTTAAAAGGTTCATCGCATTAAAAAGAAAAAAATAGTTGGTTCATCACATACGATATTGTAATAAATTTAGTTTTGATTTGTGTTGAGTAATCCTGATCTCTTCGGCTTGCTTTTTGCGGTTTTACCGAATAAGGTAGCATTGTTGGTATTTATATATTCTCCTACTGGGGTGAAAACTTATAATATATGACATTTAACGCGCCACATTTCAATGGAGAACAACAAACGACATTCATTTCTGATCTGCAACACACGTATTTATTGGTCGACTATTTTATAACCCAAGCACCGCAACTATTGATTTTTTCGTTTGTTGAATCACACTATATCAGTACCGGAAAAAGTTTGGTTTTCTGCTTGATTGATTGCACTTTTCGTCATAACCAACAGGTATCCCATTCGAACCAATCTGAATATCATATTTCACATTTTTCTGGAGAAACTCTTCGTCTGTGTTGTTATCAAATATACTTCAGTTGGACTTTGTGGATGAACTTAGTTAAACTGATTCGCAGTACCCCCCCCCCCCCCCCCACGCATGATATAAGCAAATTCTTATTCACGTAGCTATGTTTTCGAGTTCGTTCAGTAATTAAAGCAATCCACACAACATTTCATGCAGTAATTTTTTCGCCGGTCGTTTAGAAGTGTTGACGTCCCATCGACCAAATAGCTCCTTATCATAGCATTCGTTACTTTTGTGTTTCTTTCCGTTCGAATGAAAGCGGTTTCATAAAGCGATGAACGCAATTTACATATTTGTAACAAATATGTGCCCACACACACAGTGATATGTCCGAGTCACTTTTTTCTATCACTAGAGCATTTACCTCAGAGAGTGAAAAAGACAATTAACACACAACTAGCCTATTGGACCCGACAAATCGCACTTCTCTTCAAAAAGGTACACAGTAAAATGGACAGCATAGAGAGGTAGTCCATTTGACTCATGGTTTCGGCACAATCACTATGTAAACAGTCTGCTACTGGCAAAATAAAGCTTTTATGGAAGAACTGGTTCTTTCTATCGATCTGTACCGCGTCTTCTTGATCCTAATTAGGCGGGTTTGTGAGATACCGGTCAAGATGGTAGAAGTTGTTTTTTCAGGCCAGTCTGGTGTAGCTGAGTAAATTGTTTGCCCTATTTACCTCATTAAGTACTTCATAATTTTTTTAAATGCTAATTTGCCCTAGTTATTAAAAAAACGTTCTGTTTACTGAAAATTTTATGTAAGTTGGTGAAAAGTCAAAAACAATCGGAAAGTTGAAGTCCGTGAGACGCTTTTGTTATTTTGATAATAACATAGGGTTAGCAGCAACTACTTTACTTATATTTATTAACATTATTAATCATTGAAATACAAACATTGTATGGAAGTTTTTAAATTTCCCAAATCCACTCTATTATTATCGTTTTATCGCTTTTGTTACAAATCGACAAAAATGAAAACTTTATCTTGGCAGCTGACATTTCAGTTAAAATCATGGGCGAATTATCCTTTAAATACAAGTCAACTTTACCATTCAAACCAATACAGATATGAAAAAAGTTTTGCAGCAGCTTTGACAAATTATATTTAACAAATCGTTCATGTATTTGATTCATTCGACAGTACAAATGACATTTACAGAATGGTTTGAACTCTTATACACCCCCTGCTGTATTATGCATAGTATCCATGCACACGCATTTAAACACAGACATTATTTACGTTTTTTCTGTTTCCTTGAATTATGTGATTTTGTGCTGCATTTGGTTAGTAAATGAGGCACCAAAAACGAGCTTGTTTGCCGAATTGACTTCTCAATATGAAACAAATTCATCCAAATGTTGATTAGTCAACCTCATCGTCCGCCGAATTGCAACATGAGGAACCAAAGTAAAATAACAAGCTACAAGACTATTTTTGTGGGATCAGAAAAATCGAATGACGTGTCGGGATGTAATACGTGAATATGTCCCAATGGGAGTAAGTTGACGGGAAAATGCTGGATAAGTGTTATTTATGACCTCCACGTTCAAAGTTGACGGATACGATAAATCTATTGAGCTCCATGTTTTGATATATTCCCGTATCGAATCTACAGGTTTTCAGATGCAACATGGCCACAACTGGACCCTAGAAACTTGAATTTTCATCCTGGGAATTAGATGTTTCGATATGATTGGCAAAAATTTATACTATGGTATTGCAAACCTACATACTTTGATCTTTTGCCGCGTCGATAATGCTTTCGATCTCCATTGCACCTGCAGCTTTTCTGAGCTGCAAAACACTTAGAGGATGCACAAAAATTTGGGATGCTTACTCAGGACAGGCTCCAACATGTACGGCGCGTTAATCAGATGCGCTTAATCATGGGTGCCAATCCGTAAAGTAGAGCGGCACGTATGTAATTCAGCCGCGGCTCACGAAATGGCTTTTGCGCATCCTCGCTTTCCTGTAACTTTTCGTGAACACCTATGCGTGCTACACTGAAAACGTTTCTCACTAATGTGGTGTTTTCAGATCCGAATTCGTGTCGTAACTTAGTGAAGTCGATTTCATCGGGTATAATTTTTGAGTGAAGTGAAGTAATTCTGGCATAACCCCAGCCAGATGACCACTTGGCAATCATATACAAGGAACGTTCAATGCTCAAAATTGTAAAGCGTTGCTTAAATAAATTCCCAGTTTAGTTTCTGGGTCAGCGCAATTTTGAGTTTTCACCATGCGGAGAAGGTACCAGGCACTTAAAACTCTTCCATTTACTCAGATTATCCTCGGAAGTATATCGCAAACACTTCTAATACGATTTCAATCGGGCCCATAAGTGAAAAAATCAAAAATATTGGTATTCTGGTGCGATAACCATGTTCTACTGACATGATAAGTCTGTGCGATAGTCGCATCTAGTTGGAAAAGCGAGCAACCTTGCACACACTCCATGACCGCACAGGGAAGGAAGTCATTCGAATTCGTGAAGTACGAGTTAATATTTTTTGCTTTTCTTTGCGGAAATCACCCAAGACAATAGCAGCCCTGAACGTCACGAAGCCAACAGTGAAGGATCAATTGCGTAATTCAAGCTTGTTTTTTCGCATGCTACGTTATTTCATCTGTAATGTGACATCCAATCCTTCAGCCCATTGCTTTCATCTGTTTCTATGGTAAACGTACTACTGTGTGTAGCACTCTCTCCATACGCAGCTAGAATTCATAGTCACCTGCACGGGTTTGTAAGACTTTACTGCATTTGATATTTGTATTTGGAGTTGGCTGTTGATCTTCTCAAAGATTCTTCTCCATCCCGGATTTTCAGTAACGTGGACTTGGTTTTAGGAAACCAAGATAATATTCCTTAATCTGAACGATATTTGGCAATCTTTCTTATATTTGTTGCTGAATACTTGCAGACAAGAATTATTACCTCTTCTAACTCAAATATGAGTTGACCGTTTGGTAAAAGGTCAATATTAGTAATTGGATTACACCGACTGCTTGTGCTTTGTTGACAACATAATCTTGTTTTTGATTATTTTTTACATTGATGAAGA